CGAGCTTGCCCTGGGCATACAGCAGCATGCCCAGGTTGTTGACGGAGACCAAGGTGTTCGGGTGGTCGTCGCGGAGCTTTCGTCGACTTCCCTCGAGGACCTCGCGAAGCAGCGGCTCTGCCTCCACGAGCTTGCCCTGGGCCTTCAGCAGCAAGGCCAGGTTGTTGACGGATTACAAGGTGTCCAGGTGGTCGTCGCCGAGCTTTCGTCGACGGCTCGCTAGGCACTCTCTGCGGAGCTCCTCGGCTTCGTCATGCTTGGCGCGGTCGTATAGCCAGTCCGCGAGCTCCGTCATACACGTCAGAGTCTCCGCCGCATACTCGCCGTGACTTTGACGTAACTTCGCTAGGCGTCGCCGCAGGAGTTTAATAAACATATCGGTGCCCGCGGCTGCGTTCGCCACAGTGCCGTCCTCTCCCTCCAGTCGTGCCACCCAAACGTCTCGGTCGCGGTCTACAGCGCGGCCTTTGTAGTCCTCACCAAGCCGCACCTGGCGCGTTTCATCGCCGTCCTGCACCGTCCTGTGCCTCATGTCCGGCGTCTGCCGCTCGAAGATGTTGTAGGCCATTGCTTTGGATACGAGCATTGGAATACAGAATCTTGCACGGTGTCCATCAGGATGCGCGTCCCCCCACTCTACGAGGACTCGCTGGGCTTCTTCACCTGTTGTGTTTCCAAGGGGGCTCCCATTGCTGTAGTTGTTCAGCAGAACGCGGAGGCGCTCCCGCCAGACAGCGGGCTCGTACACGGTGGCATAGACGCCCTGCCCGAAGTGCGCGCGGTCATCTTTCAGGGAGGCGAACAGCTCTGCGGCGGTTTGCTGTTTGTTGCCCACGCTCGCGAAGGCCTTCTCGTTGGTGTAGTGGTAGAGGACGATGAAGTCACTATCATCGGATCGCAGGTCCATGGCATAGCGCCAGACGTGAACTGCACCGTCCCGGCCATCGTAGCGGTATGTGGCGATGATGTTCACCCAGTCCGCCTCATACATGGTTCCTTTGAAAAGCTCCCCCTTCAGGTATTTGCCGGCGAAGTATGCGGAGAGCTCAGCGTCCTCCATTGCCAAGCGCGCCTTCGGCATGCCGCCTTGTGCCATCACATCGCCGTTCTCGATGGCTGTACCAACCTTCTTCTGCGTGTCGGAATTGAGCGTGCTTAGCTCCTCCTTGACTTCGGCCGGCAACGCCCTCTCCGGGGCAGACTTTGTCGTCTCATCGGCATTTAGCGAGCCCAGCGCCTCTGCTTGCATGGCCTGTCCCGTTGATGCCCCGGGCTCGGCAGGTGCAGCCTCCTCGCCCTCCGTGAGGAACATTGTCAGCGCCCCTCTTTCCGCACAGCCCGTTGCAGGGTCTATCGGCGCTCCAGCAATCACCTCGACCGCCGCATCATTCTCGACTCTCTCGATGGCCGCAGCCTCCGTAGTTTCGGCCGGGGAAACCTCCGACGCTCCAGATCCCATGGCGGCAGGTATTCCACCACCAACACTTGGGGATTAGGCACGCCTGCTTCCACTGGGCAGGCACAGGGCCATCAGGCACCCCATTGCATGCCACTAGGGCTTCTGCACGCCATCTGCAACTGACGCCCCAAAATCCCAAACACGCAGGAACCACGCTCTTGAGCCATGTTTCAATTCCAGGGGACTCAGGTAAACCAAAGGATGCGCCGGAAGCAACTATTGTAGTGTGGGCCTGGAAGTTGTAATAGGCAGATGTGGACACCGGTCGGCAGTCGAAGGCATAGAAATGAAGCCCGACCTCAGTTTGACCCAAGCATCGGTCCCCTGTGCATGCAAGCCGCAAAGGAACGCATTGACGACAGGCTCACGGCTTCTCTCATGGAATGCATCGCTAGTACTGGGTTCGAGTATCTCGGAGCCATGTTCCAGGGCCAAGTCAAGCTTCTTTGACTCTTTGATCTTTGCATATCTTTGCGGAGAGCCACGTCAAGCCAAACACTTCCAAGCAACATATACCGGACAGCCACAGCTCGCATCTGTGCAGCCGCAAACCTTGACAAGTACTGACGGAACAGCAACATGAGGTGGACTCTGTCGTGTGATGTGCTCGAGAGCTGGTTGCTGCCAAGACGCACCATCATGGCAGTCGCAGGCATATTCGATGAACTTTTGTGCATAGCTTACGTATACCTTAGCACAAGAATTCAAACAAACCACCTCCCACTTTGGCCATCTTTCTGCCTCGAAGGGGTCAGAAGTTCGCGAGGAGAAGCAAAGGCAGCAAAGGGATCCAAGCAGGACCGAATCTTCAAGAAGCCCAAGGCGCCGCCAACAGAGGGGTGGACAGGTACTTGTAGCCCTTGTTGACGGCGATCGCAGCCGTTTTCTTCCAGTTTGTCATGACGGTGTTGATGCATCCCCTCAGTAGGCTTATGATCAACTCCGCTGCCCTTTTGCATCATAAGATCATCTGCCTTCGACTCGATGCGGCCACTGCTTGTCAAGCAAATTATTGGTGCTTTTTGGCTGCGAGGCTGCTTAACAGTCTATTTCTTCCACAACCCACGAGTCTGTGCCTGAAACGCGAACCTGCAACCGTAAACCATCCAAGAAACGGCTCTTGTTCCCAGAGCTCCGGCAGGGGCTGCAACGCCGAACAGCCGCCCACGGGCCAGAAGCCCACCCCTGTGGCGTAGGCGCTCTCCCAGCAGTTGCCTTTGCTGTGGCAAGCGCTTTTGCTTCATAAGCATGTATGGATCGACAGGTTTCGACGCTGTGTTGACTTGTACAATTTCAACCTGCGGCGAAGCTGCACATACCTCGAGAATTAGCACTCGCAGGAGGGAGATTGACATCCAGCTCCTCAGCTGGAAAAACCCTGCTTTTCTAATCCCAAGGTGAATGACATCAGTCTGTTCGCAAGCAGGAACGGGCAAGAGAACTCCAACGCGGAAGACCGGAAGCAGTGCACGTGAGCAAGCAGCAGATCTCTCTGCAGAGAGATGTCGGCCTTTGGGCAATCATTGCCGTGCACAGCGGCATCATCGCATGGCCTCAAGAGGCTCAGGAGAAGGAGGCGGCCAAAGTGTCACCATCACTTGCCGAACTCCCCGCCCTCCCCATGCTGCCATGGTGCTTGACGCACCTGCCAAACATGTTGCCCATGCAGCTTCCCTGAATATCGGGCTCGTTCATGCCCATCATGAGGTTCGCCATCGTGGCCGGAGATTGCTTGCCGTGGCTGTCCAGGAAATGCGTCGTGTCGGCTTGGCGCACCCACTCCTCGTTCACCACACCGGACCCCCAAACTTCCGGCATGAAAATGAAGTCTTCGGTGAGGGGTTCCTCAGGAGCCAGGTTCCAGTTCCAGAACATCACCTTGGACAGGGGATGGCTCTCGTCCGAGCTTTGTTTCTGCATGAAACACTGTTTATTCCACACCACGAGGAGGAGCAGCAGCAGTAGCAGCAGCAGCAGTAGCCGTAGTAGTACAGCGCCGTGAGTGGTTCAAGCAGAGCGTCGTCGTGTAGAGGCTCTGAGCACTCCAAGCAAACATTGCTTATAGTGCTCTCCTCGAGAGCTGTGCGATTGGAGCTACGGCTTTTCTCCGGGCAGAAGGACGTATTGTGCCGCTGCGCAGTAAGAGTCGATGAGTGACGACAACAATTGAGTACGCTCAGCCCGGTCCTAAGTCCGGGAGTGCTGAGAACAGCAACAGTCGGCAATGCAGAGAGTCATCAATGGCGCGAGGGTTGGTCCTCAACCTCCGGGGCACCTGAAGCTATTGGGCATCCGCTCCGGTGGCGAACGCAGGAGGGGACTTCGAAGCCGTAACTGGAGCGCAAGTTTTGAGAATTACGAAAAGAAAGAGTTGACAAGCCTGCTGTAAGACGTGCGCAACTGCAAGGCGAGACCATGTACAGGGGCCGTCGACTGGTATCGTATTCGCCGATGCTCCCGGTAATAGAGGAGCCAGTGGTGATACGAGAGAAGTTCAGACTTCGTTTTCTTTCCTGGAAAGTGGGTGGATTTGCTAATGTACTCTTCACGAGTGAAAGCAGTGGCTGCAAATCAAAAAGAACCGTGAGAAAGTGTTGTCATCTTGCAGGAGACGCACTGGGATGGGTTGGTCGACGGATGACTGAAAATTTTGTCACTCTGCTACAGGCTGCAAAGGGAGCGGTGGAGTTGGAGTACTACTTGTAGTTGGGGTGCGCTGGTGGTGGTGGTGGTGGTGGTGGTGGTGGTGGTGGTGGGGGTGGCGGCGGTGGTGGCGGCGGTGGTGGTGGTAGTAGTAGTAGTAGTAGTAATAGCCGTAGCCGTAGCCGTAGCAGTAGGAGTAGGAGTAGTAGTAGTAGTAGTAGTAGTAGTAGTAGTAGTAACTAGTAGTAGTTGTAGTAGTAGTAGTAGTAGTAGTAGTAGTAGCAGCAGCAGCCGCTTCCTGAAAATGAGTGCATGTGTCTGGCTCCGGAGGGACGGCAAATCACACATCAACCACAATTGAAATAACCAACAACAAAGCAGGATCCCCCGGGATCCCCCTCTGCTCCCGTCCTCTCCCCCGGGCCTTGTTAAAGGAGCTGCTTTCCTTCAGTGCGTCGATGAACTTTTGCGTGTCTTCCGAGGCTCCGCTCTCAGAGATGCCGGGGATCTTCCCCAAAAGCCCGCAGCCCCAAACTGGGTCCTGAACACGACAAAGCGGCCCCAGGAAGAATTCACAAGATTCCAAGATCTCTCGTCCACTTGCACCTGGCTCATTTCGCTCCCGAATCCCTCGAACAGCACATCGCACCTCCTCCGAGGCTGCATGCGCCCGCAACCGGCGGCCTTCAACCTCCGGAGCCCACAGCCTTGGCACACTATGCCCTGCGAGAATCCGCAGCGCGTGCTTAGGCACAAAGCGAACGTCCTCAGCCTAGAGAATTTACACATGATGCCGCACATTGAACCACACTGGGCCCAGGTCTTGCCAATTTCAATCACCCCTCTCCATCGTACCACTCTGAACCTTCAATCCGGCGAACTCAAGATTGCCAAACGGAAATCTCTGCTACATCTTGGCGTGAAAAGGATATGCATTCATCTATGCTACTCGTTGCGATGGCATGTCTGAATCTCGACTCTGAGCTATGACGATGTCCAAAGGTAGGTTCCAATCTCTCGCGAAGGCATCAACCCTGCGAAGGCCTCAAAGCTTTACAGGCTCCAGGTGCGGTAAACTCTGAGCCAAGGTGCGAAGATTCTGTGGCGGCAAGCCTCGATCCCTCAGGCATCTTCAAAAGTTCGGCGAAGAGTATGCAGGAACAGCTCTACGTAGTACGTTCAGCAGACAACAAAGGCATCTCACCCAGAGAATGGGAATTGTCAGTTGAACTCCAAGTCGCAAGGCCAAGCAGGGCCGAAGCAGTCAGCCCGAGCATGACGATCACTCCTGGCTCGGCACTCAGGCTTGGCGGGTGCTTGTCGAGCAGGGTTTCAGATTCTGGGGTGATGCCTTTCCGTTTCGCTCGTCGCAGGACTACCGGGGAAAAGCAATGCCAATTTTCTTCCGTTGACGAATACTTGAGATGTAAGCTCGCCTCGTCGAACGGAGAACCTGGGCTCCTCTTGGCTGGGCTCCATGCCTGCAGCAGATCACAACCTCAAACCGCATGGCAAGGAGTAAGCGGAGCAAACGCCTCAAGCACAGGCACTGTCTCAGTGCTGAAGTCTTCCCGCGCTCAGGCCCGCTTTGCCCCAAGCGAGCCTCCAAGTCTTCTTGGCGCCCGGTTGGGTTGGTGAGGTCTACTGTCTGCGAAAGCAGACGTGGCGGAGCCAAAGGCGGCGACACAAAATTAGGCCGCAACCCAACCACAGCGGTCTTTCGACTTAGGGAGTGCCGTGCCCTTCTCGAGCCTTGAACCCAGACCACGACCACGCAACATCCACTGAGGATCCGATCAATGTCCTCCACGCACTATTCGGATAGCACCCTCGGATTCAATTATTTCGGTCGTGGTGCTATGAGACACGTGCGAATGGAGTCCATGGAGCGAACTATGTCGCCAATTTCTGTGGACACCCTTTGGATGCAAGGCTGGTGTGGGGTGTGGGAAGTGATTTTGCACGGTATCTTATATATTTGATAGATGATTCGAGTGCGAGTTTCGATGTTACTGACCCTCTTCTTAAGTGAGTGTCCGCAAGAACTCCCACCTGAAAGCAACACGGACCCCTTGATCTTGAAGCCTCTAGTTCATTTCTAACGTTGCCGGTACCGATGCTACGAGATCGTCATGCCTTCGGCATGGCTTGAAAAGATGCGGTACCGTGGCTGCCCTAAAGGCATGCTAGGGCACTAGGATGCACTAGGTCCAGGTCCGGGGCCTTGCCGCACAATGGGGAACCATAGAGACATGTTGCAAGTGTGCGTTAGCCCTCGAGACCAACTAATCCATACCCAAAGCTGGGTCAAGCCTACCTGACAAACAAGAATGCCGCCAGCTGCATGCATTTGCAGGCTGCCAGGCGAAGCATAATACCGAATACCTGTCTAATCATAATCGCACAGGCCACGACATCGGTCTCTGGTCGCGTCGCGAGCTTTTCGTGCAGCGACTCAGGCTACGGGTTGCGAACAGGCCGCGGCGCCCAGGTCAGCCCTTCGGTTCTCAGCCTCGGCTACAGGGTGAAGCGCAACACTTTGGCTCCTGCTTTCCTTCACCAGCAGCAGGCCAAGTGAATGAATGCTGAAGCCCCTTTACGGGACCATGCTGTGCTCGCGACTGGAGGACTATTTCGTTTCCCTCAGCCACAACCTCGCGTGACTCCGGGTAATGACCAAGCAAAGAACTAAAGCCACAGGCTGCCGACCTGCCAGCCATTCTCTGCTGCTTTTCTGACCTGATCGAGGAGGTGTGCAAACAACGCCAGCTAGCATTGACAATTGACTGCTCCACCGAAAAGAAGCGCTAAGTTCACTTCCAGCACCGCGTTCGCACGCAGTGTTTCGCTGGCAAACCGCAGCGCCTGGAGCTAACTGGAATTGCACTGCGAGGTATTGCCAGGTTGCACCGTCTTGCGGTGTGACCATGCCACGTTTCTCAGGTTGGAGGGGTTGCAGTAGGGCTATCCCTACTTGAAAACCGTCATGCCACTTCCAAGCCGTTTGCCGAGGGTTGCGCACAGCTTGCTGACTCTGGCCAGCCGGCCTCTCCATGCTGCGAAACTGCAGCATCCATGATGGCATAATCCCCCTGTAGCTCCTTTTCAGGAATTGCTGGCAAAATGCAGTGCATTACAGAGTTTTTTCGGAGTGCCGACGGGCCGACTCAGTGAACTGCTCAGAAGGCACAACAATAAGCTTTCCGGAAATGGCTCAGCGAACGATCTGGACTCACGCAATGTGCTCAAATGGTCCTCGTCGATGAATCGCACCGCTTCCCAGCTCTGCTCAATGGCCACGAGTGCTGCCATTTTATGCAGTAGCAAATCCGCCAAAGCTGCGATTGGATGTGGCAGGCCTATCTCTTTGTTTTTCTTCATCTCGGTGGACGCGAACTGCAGTGCCCGCCAGTCGTTGGCAACCGCCTGCACAATGGCAGATGTGCTTGTGTTGAGCAGATCGGACCAACTGCACTCTGCCCCCATTGAATTGTCTTGTCAGCAAACCTCGCCGTGTTAAAGTCCTGAGCCTCTTTGACGATTTCGAAGTCCTCTCTGAAGGCTTGGTAGAAGGCATGCCGGATCGAGCATCCGTCCTGAAGACTGCAGTTGGCACACTGACATTTGGTCAATTGTGCTGCATCCTGCTATCCGGTGATGCACGATTCTGTGCAGCGACTTGCATTTGCGGTATCCCTCCCTGAGAGTACATATACAGTGAACCAAAGATGCGGGCGTGACGGTGTAACAACGTTACTGTCCAAAGCAGAAGAAGCAGACCAATAGTACGGAAGAATGTAAAGCAGTCCTTGCGAACTGCCTCCAGTACGACCTGTGAGGCAAATCCGCTCGTCCAACTCGTATTGGCTAGCCAACACGTTTGACAGGATCCCCGGCCCGTCCCCAAAGCCTCACGATCGCACCGCAGAGCTTGGGAGGCGAACTGCAACGCGAAGCCGGAATATTGCAAGGCCTCTCTGCGGATGGAGAGCTCTCACTGTGCGATTCCCGCTTCCCTACTGCAGCACTCGCAGTTGCAGCGATGGTTCATCGGTTGCGGTATCCACGTGCCTCTTGGAATGTCAAGCTTCAGACTTAGAGCACGAGCCAGTCCAAAGACTCCGTGTTCGCAAAATTTGACGTTAGAAAGACCTACTAGCTCTCGCCGACAAAAGGGATACACAACCAGTACTACCTTTGCAGCTTGCTGCGCCAGATGGGCACCGCCTACCACACTCCAGGGCCTGCAACATGAAGCTTTTGTCTGCTCGTAAATTTTCGCCCGCGAACTGGATTGCCTGCCCACAGACCAACGGAATGCAAAGGCGTGCCGCGTCTTCAACGGTGCAGCTCCCGCGCTTTCAGAAAACCCTGCAGCACCACTTCAACAGCTAGGCTTGGTAGCGAGTTTCCTCCGAACACCCAAACTGCAAGCAGCTCCATGAATCGAACTATTTCCTGCGAGGATCTGGGGCACCCTGCTCGCCAGTCCTGCTTCACTGCCTCAGGATAGCTATGCTGCGACCGAATGATACCCAACTGTATGTAGCTCAACATTCCAACCACAAATTTCGTGGGATGAATGCCCTTCGCAGCTCAGTGGCCGCGACACCCAGCCGAGGATCCATTCGCACTGCCAGGGGCCTCGTTTCAGGGCAAGTATGCAGACCGGAGACCGCGCACTCCGAAAGCGCAAGGACCCGGCGCTTTTCCAAGAGCCTGCCAGTCTCCAGCAACTGCCTGCAAAGAAAACATACTTATGACGCGACCCATGCAGTACTTTGGGCACGACATGTGTAGTTGTGTCAGCAGTGCTCCAATCTTCTTGGGGGCGATGTGAGCACCCACTTCACGCCTGGATCCATGCTTTGCACTCGGCAGGCCTTACAGAAAGGGAAGCTGTGTGCCCTGGCAGCAGAATCTCCAAATCCGCCAAGGCCCGAGCGAAAGCTTGTGGGGGCGTGAAGGGGCACTCTTGGGTGCAGGAATGGTCATCGGCCTGGCCCTGCAAAACGAAAACCACAAAAAAGAGACATCTGTACAAGATAAGATAAGATAATATAATGGAATATAACGGCATGTAGAATAATCGAATATAGTATAACAGAATATAAGATAATAGAACAGAACAGAATGTAATGCAATAGAATATAAGATAATATAGTAGAACATAATATAACATCGTATGATACAACAGAATATAATATAGTACAATAGAATATAAGATAATAAAACATAATGTAATAGCATATGATATAATAGAACAGAATATAGGATAATACAAAAGAACATAATATAATATAATATAATATAATATAATATAATATAATATAATATAACAGAATATAATATAAAAACATATGATATAGTAGAGTATAAGATAAGATATAAGAATAAGACAATTTAAGACAATAGAATAGAACATAGTATAATAGAATAGAATATAAGCTAATATAATTGAACATAATATAATATAATATGATAGAGTAGAATATAATAGAGAAGAATATAATATAATATAATATAATATAATATAATATAATATAAAGGTAATCTAACAGAACATAATATTTTTGGCTCCCACATGGCATCATCAGCTCGCTGAATATAATATACAGTAATATGATATAATATAATATAATAGCGTCAACCACGCAGGAAGGCAGGCGCCTGGCTCAAGCAGCTGGGCACTCTCGCTGCCACAATTCCCGATCGCGGTTGCTTCAAGGGCTGGTATGAGTCTATGCGAATGTTTCAAGGCGGACTTCAGAGGTCGGGTGGTCTGCTTTTTTTTGTACGTGTTTCTGTCTATTTCGCTCCACTTTCATCCGCTGATGTCCGAAAATTGGCTCTGCTGCCAGCATTCAGAGATTCATAAGCATGTCTGTTGGCTGCCAAGTTAATGGGATTAACAAATGCACTTCGCATGAGTTGCAGCAAAGCAGGGTGCAAACGCAGGATGCTGCCGACAATCACAGATCAATCAGCACGGTGGCTTCTTGTGTCGCGTGCCCCACGGCAGTGCGGAAGCGGTTTCGACGAGCAGCTGCTCCACATGTTCACGCAGGAGGCCAGGGTCGAAGCATGTCGAAGCCCAACCGCCTCACATTCTGTACACAGGCTTCTCCAGGACGTGCTCCTGCCAGCTTTGCAACTGCATAATTTCAAACGCGTGCTTTCGGGCACAGGACCGACCACCTCCTTCCTTCCATTTGGCCATCGAGTCGTGGTGTAGATGCCTTGGATGGATACAGCGACTTAATTCCTAACTCATCGGACTCATCGGACCATTACTTTCACAAGACATTGCGATCCCTACTCGAGTAGTTCTGCCTGCTGGAGGCGAGGCTTTGAAGGAATGATATCCGAAACTTCCAGCACAGTAGCCTCAGCCCTTCAATCAGAATCTTGCAAGCGTTTGTGCAACGTTGCTCCACGAGCTTCCACATGAGTGGCAACTTTCCAAAGACGAAGGGGCAGGAATTTTCCGAACATGCCTTTGCCCCAGAACTGCAGATACTGGTTTTGGATTAGGTGCGAACCCACTTGTGCCCATCGTTGCCCACGAAGGGCTCCCTCTGAACGTCCAGTCGTGGCCAGTTCTCTTCTGGACGCGGCTTGTCGGTGACCTGTCAAACTGATGCAAGATTGATTCCCACGTCACAGCAATGGTGCAGGCAGCCGCCGTTCAACCCAACTTTGCGGGCCTCTTGGGGCAAAGGCAGCCGTGAAGCTGCCTGCGCGGAGCGGAGAAGTCGAGCCAAAATGCCTTGGCAAAGCAGGGAACTCAAGCACTCTCCGGGGGTGACCACAGGCGAATTGTCGGCTTCGTGGCCTGCAATTCCCACTAGAGTGTAGGGGCGATGACAACGACGCCTTCGGTCGCTCATGCCAGCTGCCACGATGACACCACCCCACCACCGAACGTTGATGTTGTACTAACCCGCAGGCATCTGTCTTCTAGTCGTCTGTGTGCATGCTTTCCTCCTGTTGCTGCTGCTCTTGTTTCAGGTCCGTTTCAGGCTCTGGTCAGCGCTGGCCATCACGATGGTCCTAGCCGCTAGCCGCTAGCCAAGGTGCCTTCGCGGACAGCTGCAGCGTGAACTCCTGGCTTCAGCCCCACTCGCCCCAATTCCTGCAATTCAGCCGGATGCAGAGCAAGCAGGGGGTATCCGTAGGGCGAACTAATGGCAACCAGTGCCCCATTCAAAGCTCCTCTTGAAGCATCTCGTCCAAGCCTCGGCCGTTGAAGGCGTCGCGAAAAAGTTTCTCTGCCTGCTCCTGGCTGACGGAACCTCGACTCGAGTCTCTCCATGAAGAGACTTCAGATGTCAACAAGGTCTATGCTGAGTCTAGACTCGCCGCGTGGACAAGTGGGTGCGAGATAAGCACGAGGCAGAAGCGGAGCCAGCCCTCCTTTGGAGCGGAGCCGACCGATGCTTGTGATCCTCAACATCCGGCGTGTTGGCTGTCACAGACTGCCCGTTCCAGTGCTCTTCCATGGCCAACACCGGAAACATTTTCGCTCCTCGAGGGTTGCGGAGCTGTTGATATGCCTCCGCGACTCGCCGGAATGCCTCGCTTTGCTTGGCCGCCTGGATGACATGGTGTGGTACACAGATGTACACAACCTGGAATTGCAATCATGAAAACTGCCCCCCCTGTCGCAAAACCTTGGACCTCCAACTTCAGATCTGACTTCATTCTCGAACAAAGAACACGACGCCCCGATTGATGCAACCACACGTGCCCTTTCCTGCCTCAGCAGAGCTGCTGGCCAGGTCTGGATGCGTGCGCAGCGCAGATTTGAGGTATGCTGCACGGACCTCTGCGGCGGAGGCACCTGAAATTGGAGCAGGGTCGGCCAAGTTCCTCGCAGCATCTCGCAGCTACCAGGCAAATGCACGCGGCACCTGGGCACACTCCGAGCACTTGGTGAGGGTCTTCGCCATATGGCGGAATCCTGCCGGTCATCCGGGACAAATCAGACTGCAGCACTCAGCCTAGCTATGCCTAGCTACTGCATGCAGGAGTGCCAGGTCTCGCAAAGCTGGTTCCAAGAAAGCTCCGCAGCTAACCAAAAACTCGATGCTGTTTTCATCCAGCTCTGTCCCTACGAAGCGAAGGAAGATGGGACGGTAGAGGTTGCCCTGCAGCGTAGTCACCTCAGCTGCATGGCAACGAGGCTGCCACTGCCTTGAGATCGATGCCCTGAACAAGTCTAGTCATTCTAGGAACTCAATAGCCATCTGCTCAGTGCAAGCTGAGCCTTTCCCGGGCCCAGGCCCGCCGAGGAGTGCATGTGGCCCGCAGCATTCATCAGCAGGAAACTGTGGGATTCTCAATCCAGCTTTCGGTCGGGCCGCCAACGGTACGGCGTCTGAGGACTCTGTCGCCGCCTCTACTTTGGAGGATAACGAGGCATGAATGGTGCTGCCAGGTTTTCGCTCATGCCTGCGACAAGCCTAGCCGTAGGAATCCCGTACACTGAGTTGTAGGTTTGCGCTAAACGTGCCACGAAGACTGACCCTCGGCCCGTGAACTGCAAACGCCTCCCCTCAAGCTTGGTTTATGTCTTAGTTTGATTGCTAAGCTTCAGTACAGGTATGGGCTCACAAAGCATGAAGCCAAGCCTACGGCAAAAGGTCGGCAAGGCAGCAGCAGATTGAGGACAGTTGGCTCGAAGGTCAATAACGAGGCTGGAACGTGTCAGTCAGGATCTTTTCTGAATAAAGCGCAGGGCTACTTCAGACGCTGTCTAGGACAATGCGTCCGACAGTGGTGAAAACAGTATGCGTTTGTTGCGTAACAGTGCGCGCAGCACTGTGGCTCTCATAAGCGCAGTGAGGGTGCCTAAGTCCGGTCCAAATGTTGAAGTGCAATAACATCACAGTACAGCATGCCATGTGAATTGCACAACTTCACTACTGGCCGATAGCAGCACTCTTCGCGATAGAAGCGCCTTTGCGGATGTCGACTATTGATCGCTGATCGCGGGTTTGAATCACAAACATTGCTGTTCGGCTGTACCCTTTGTCCCTTAAGGCTCAAGCTGACAGGGTCCTTGGCGGCACGTACTGTATCGTGCACATGGAGCAACGAACAAGAATTCTGGCAAACCAACTTGTCACGCCAGCACGGCACGTTCCGATACAGGATTGCTTGACGAAAAGCCTGTTCTCAGTCCGGAGCCTCGCGTATGCCTGCCTGGCGGTGGCTTGGCGATCGTACTATCTGCTCGAACAGGAGTGGCCAAAGAAGTGCCGGTCGCACAGCACCGACCATGGTGTCGCGCGCCCGTGCGGTGGCCAAGGCAAGGAAGAGCAATGCATTCCGTACCCGTCTGTGCAGTGCCCGGAAGACCCTTCTGGCTCTGTTGGTGCAAAAACCATGCCCGCCAGGCAGGCGCGGTGCAGACTCGGGCAGGCTGTAGAAAGCTTCTGTGTCCTGGCACAGGCACAGGAGTGCGGGTCACGGGCATGCGATGGACACCGCCACAGGTCTGCTGAAATTCTGCAACCCTCAGGAACAGGAAGAACCCTGAAACCCTGCACAAATACTCTTCTGGTCGCAAATTCTTCCATTGTTACAGGAAGGAGGGGCACGTGCCCCCCAGTCCGTCCCTGTAAAGGAAATCTCCGCCCGGGCCCTTGGTCCGTAACCGATGTCAAGTAATAGTGCTGGCATCCGCCAAACATCTCAACTTCACCTACTCCATCTGGGGAGGGCAGGTGGGACTATTCAGCAGATGAAGCTGTGAAAGATCTGCAGTACATAAAAAAACGAACTGCCGCGACCTGACACATACAAGCAGGGGTGCACACAGGTTGCGAGGGTTCCGTGTATGCGGCAAATATCCCATCCTACCCGCCGCAGACAACCCTTCGCGGCTGCATGCCCCAGGCCTTCAGCAAGGCAACTTGAGATGGAACGCCCCCGCGAGCCAGGTTTAGCCTTGGCAGCTTCGATCAATTTCCGTGTTCTTCCTATTTCAAATCGATACGTCTGCACAGGGCTCCACACATCAACGGCCCCATAGGTGCACCAATGGACTGCCGGTATGTGCTCCTGCCACCAAGTATGCAGAGCATGCATGTGGATCTCAACCACCAAACACGCAACCCCAAAGCTCCTGAGACCACCCGACCTCGGCTGTTCCGTTCAATAGTTCGACATAGCATAAAAACTGGTTGACGCCATACATGTTCGCCCAGTCTCCAGGTGGAGTGCAGGGAACACTGGGCTGGCAACCCGGCCCAGGAGCCGGTTCCCATGGAGACCATCGCCTCAGAGTGCAAAAGCCAGCACCATGGCAGCCGTTCGTCTGCACACAAACACCACTTCATTCCCAAGCGCATCTGCTCGAAGTTGCGAAATCCAACATGTCATGTACGATGGGCGAGGCTTCTGCCGGCTTCAAAGCGTGACTGCGATTAGGGTTTCGCCTTGAGAAAGGAGCAGCAACCCCGGTGCCGAAAACTAGCCAATGCTCCTGGGCCCGAAGCAGATGTCCCATATGTCTTTGCTTCATTAGCTTCAAGCTCTTCGTCTTCGTTGAATTTGTGGTAATTCTGCACCAAAAACCCAACTTTCCAGAAGGACTGCGGCTTATTCCCACTCCCTGCATCGACTCGGCAGGCTGCAATCTAAAATCGATTCGACTGTCTCTCTGACTCCGCACCAGAACGGCAAGCCCCCTTGGATCGTATCTTGTAGTGGTCGTACGGTAGTGGGTGTAATGTGTAGCCGTCTGACCGAAGTCTTAACCAGCAAGCACGCAAGCAGCGAGACCGCTTCCAGTAACTGCCAAGGAGCTGATTTGGAGTTGTTGTTGACTACATTTCGCCCTGTCGCTCATGACGGAGACATGACAAGTTTGCGCGTGCCACGCAATGAGACAGCTGTAGTGTCCACAGAAAACGTGACATGTCCGACCTCCAATGGGAAAATACCTGACTCATGCGGCTGCCACGCAGTCCGAGAGTTCATTTGTCACGAGATCCTCCTTCTGTCATGACCGTCATGAACATGCAAAGGACAGCACTGCCAAAAAACCCGGCTTGTGAACCGATGCTGCGTGCACAAATTTGTGCTCAAGACTTTGCGCCGCACTGACTTATCTTGCATATCCAGCTGCGCGCTATAGCGAACCCCAGTGCATTTGCAAAGTATGCGGCAACAGAAAGCCATACCGGGCAGCCAGCTCAGCCCTGGCTAGCTTCGTCATGTCCATCTGCGGCACTTCTCTTGTAATTGGCCTTGGCGACGGTCACATCATGCACATGACCTTTCTGGCGCAGCCACACAGGGACAACCCCAGCGAATGCCAGGCAAGGATAGCCGACGATTGCTTCTGGCAGTGAAGAGCAATCACATGCTCTCGATGGTGTTTTCCTCCTTGCCGGCTCAAGTCTGTCGACGGTGAGAGGCTGCGGTGCGGAGGCTGTACAACCACATGCACTTCGGCTTACATTCAATGGCAGGCTCGCTCCTGGTATGACATTTTGCGGTTCTAGTTTGCCAAGACTGATTCCGCCACTGATCGCAAAATATAACAAAAAGTTGAACTAACACACCTGGAAGGCGCTCTACTGCATGCGCTGAGAAGAGCGCTTGCAAGACCCGTGTATGCCTCCCGTGCGCTTCGGCACCTTGACCGGCGCGGACCTCACATGAAATCATCCTCGATCTCCCGACACTCCTCAATCGAGCCCGTCTTGCTAACACCTTAGCGGAATGCGCGAGTGTCTGTGCGTATCCACTGTTAACGTATCGGACAGAGGTCAGGGGCGGGTCGTGAGAGTACCAAAATGAAACTGTGAAATGTGAACCAACTGAGGGATGGGCCGACATTTGAGGACTTTTCCAAGTGCTGGAGCGCGGTGTAGCTCTTGAGCTCCTGTGAGGCATTCGGCGGGCAATGCGGACTTGTAAGTCACCTCCGCCAGGGAAGGCCGCCTTGCCCTCTGCAACAGAATTTAACCGCGTGAAGATGCTGCGGCCTTCTCCTCGAGGTGGCGCTTGGTTTCCTCTTTCTCCGCCTTTTTCCGCTCCTGTCGATGTAGGGGATGCGTCGTTGGCTTTGAACTCAGCAAGGAAAGGATTTTTCGGCAGGGGTAACTCGTGACTGTATGACTTGCACTCGTGCTTTGCCATTGCTGCATTCAGAGCTTACGCGAGATTGCAAAATGGCTCCAGCCAAGTCTTCTACGCCGCTCATTGCCACACCATTTGGCTCGAGGCTATCTAGAGCCAGATATCTGTCCCAGCTTAACCCCACTCTTCCCAAGCAAGTTTCTTCGTCGTCAGTGGCAACTCGAAAGATCTCGAAAGGATCAAGGACTGTGGGCAGAGATGCAGATCCTCAATAACTTTTCTTCTTCTAGCTTTCTCTTCGTTATCATGCTCCTCTTTCTCCTGGCAGAGACGAGGTCGCTGGCAGAGCAATGCTTGGCAAACGTGAGGTGCCAGAGAACGGGCGCGGTGCCTTTGCAAGGTCGACGGTCTTCTCGACCCTTGTCTTCTCCAGCCTTTTGACTATGTCTTTGTCCTCCACTTCGCTATCAAAGACTTGCTGGCTGCCAAGCCCGGCAAGTCAGAGGGGGTGCTGGGTGACGTGAGGGAGCATGGAAGGATCCTGTCTGGCGTGGTCAGGCAGGGGACTACCTTTTGAAAATGCTCTGCTGACATCAATCCTTGGCCACATGCTTGATCAAGGTTCGGAAAGACTCCTCCTTGAAGCCAACCTGGTCCGAGAGCATTCATTTCAGTGTACATGTTGCGACATTCAAACGATCCCACCTGGCCGACTTCCATGCGGTCCTCTTTCTTCAAGTTGAGGAATGGTGTGTAGACTATGTCGCACTGAGCTGCCTTGCGCACACATGCTGTCTGTCTCGTCAGGCGGCCAGGGCCTTACAGCATGGTGCGAGACAACGTTCGAGCCCGAAGCAAAGCCTTGCAACCCTCGATGGAATTCTCTTTCGTGAGCTGGGCCATCTCCATCAGGATCTCTTCCGGCACTGAAGCGATCGCATCCAGCAGCCTGTGGTATCTTCGAACACGCGCGAGCCCAAAACCTCCATCAACCTGACATTCTGTGAAAGGCTCCCGTAAGCAGGAGCAGCTCAAAAGCAAGCGGACAGCCTCTGTTTGGCTTCGGCCTTCAATGAGAGGACACGGCTGAAGTCGGAGTTTTGCAGTCTTCGAGGTGGGTGGGGTCTGGTCTCGGGCTTGCCCTGCCGTACCCGTGTGTTCCAGCTTCTTGTGTGCGTTAGGGCCTTGTTGGCCCCAGACAAATCCAGACTGCCAGGCGGAAGACGGAGATACCTGAAGCCGCGAGGCGATGCATGGTGGCCCAGGAAGCTGTACGTGGCTTGAGAGCACCGAGGCCCGTACACATGTGCTGAAGACAGCTTATCAACGTGGAACCAGATGTCCTGGTGGAGCACAGAAGCATACCGACTGCGACATGTCCGGGATGCCAAGCTTGGCATTCCTGCCTCTGGAAATCCATATTTCAACAGCTCCTCATTCTCGTACTTGTCCTTTCCCATGTAAACCACCTGGGCTCCAAGGGCTTTTGTTGCCGGATGGTCCAACCGCACCAAGCCACGCCGAGTGAGGCACATATCGCGGATCAGAGCAAGTGAAGAAAAACACCTGGGCTGCTTTACATGCTGCATCATGCTGCATTATGTAGAATGTTTGCCGTTCCCTGCAATCCAGTCGCCATGTAACTATCGGGGCGGCCGATGGCTGCTACAGCCTTGCCGCCTTGCACCAGCTAAAGCTTTGAGCCATGTGCCGCGGAGTGTTTCGAACATCCGACCTGAGAGAATAAACGCAAGCGGGCGGATCAGTTGCAATCACTTGTCTCGTCTTGTCCTTGTCCGTTGTCCCGGGCCCTCTTTTCCTAAAAATGCTCTGTTTGGACTGTTGGGAGCTGCTGACTGTGGCTCGAGCGGTAGTTCGCCCAGCTGAACTGCACGTTCCTCGCAACCACTGGGAGCTGTCTGTCCCAGAATCAGCTTACCACGGAGCCTACAACTACCAAACTGCGTGGGGCACCGTCACTATCGTGTGACGCGTGGCGGGCTGGCATGCAGGTATTGTAATTGCAGTTTATCATGCTACGCGATTGGCCCGATGCTTTGCATGCGAAATCTCGATTGGAGAATGGCACCATGTAGAACCCTAGCAGATGCAGTCAAACCAGAGCTGAAGCAGAGCATGCCGACAGCAATTCTGCCAGTGAGCACCCGCCAGCCTTGTCGCAAGCGATGGCCTCATTCTCCGATGCAGGCGACACGACGAACTGTGAAGCACTTTCGAAACTGCACCTTCGCAGAGAACTCTGCAAGCTGCTCTACACCCAACCATCCTAATCCCATTTGCCGGCACAACGAACAACAACATAACCTGCAAACCTGTAGCCAGAAAGCCACCTAACAGCGACGACTAGCTGATGGTTTCGACTTCGGCTGACGCACTCCGCAGACTTCCACCCAAGTCGTGCAAGAGCCACGTCCTGAGGCAGCAGCCCAGTTGAGGTGCCTCTGCTTCATCTGTGCTCGGTTGGTCGGCGCCATGCTCGGAAGCCACTGCACAGCAGGGCCAGTGGCAGCAAATCTTGGAGCACAGCTGGGAAACCGTGCAGTCTTCAGTAACAAGCCAGCAATTGCGGTGCCAAATATGCCGCAGCCGTACCGATCTCGGAAGCACCACTCACCGGAAAGCCAACTCGGGAAATCATTTGAATACACAGCTTGTTCGGAAAATTTCGCATACCGTGCGCCTGGTGCTCGCGAACGGCAAACAGCGTCCCAAGCTGCTTAACTGACCTTACTTCTCGCGGCTGGACAGCCGTGCCTGTATCAGGCAGATGCCACGCACGGGTCTGCACAAGCCTGTTGCTAAGAAGGTTATAGCCGTCTTAATTCAACGTCATGCCGAACGCTGGGCCTAGCTCGTGTGTGGGCTGTCTTCTGCTTCACAGCTAGCAGCTCGATGCATGATGGTGACTATAAGAGCCAACGAACATGCTGCAGGTTGCAACTTTAGAAATGAAAATAAACCCATCGCTCTGCAATCCCTGCTGCTCTCGCTGGCTGCGAAATCCATGCGCAGCATCGATTTCTCTCGGCGGTAATGAGTAGAGTAATGAATGATGTGCATTAGCTGCCTTCATGCTCTCGTTGGAACTCGAAGGTGCCGCAAAGCAATTTCTAATCCTTTGTGCCCTGCGTAGGTAGCGGGCAGCCAGGTAACAAATCTCGACCCAGTGGGCCACTGAAGTCGAGGAGCCATTGGCTACGACACAAGGGTAACAAGGCGCCAAATGAAGGCATGGGAGGCCAATCCATTCCGGCACAAGCATTGGCTCATGCATGGTCGTAGACAACAGCGCAATGGTGTAGTACGCAACACTTTGGCCGCGCACTCAGGCTTTAGCGGCTTGTCTTTGCTGCAGCCTATACCTCAGGACGATCGGGTTTCACCACCCGGTGCAACAATCAAATTCGGCCCTCGGCATTCGTCATTTGCAGCAAGGGCCGAATCGACAATGAGGACGACGACAGAAACGTCTACGACTACAACCGCATTAACCCTCATGTTGCACCCTTTTCCTCCTGAGCGGCTCTCCGCTTTTCCTTCGTGCCTGCAATCCCAAGCTGCACATGCCGACACGAGAAGCTGAACAACCCTTAAAGGATCGAGTGCTTTGCATCTCAACAGCGCAGGTCCCCCAAGCCCGCTTCGCGGATGGACGGGCGGGAGGGCACAACTTCTTTCCGGTCGTACATGGCACAATATTTTGTACGTTTTCCGTGCTGAATGGCTTTCCGATTTTCCATCGTGCCTGCGATCCGAAGCTGCACATGCCGACACGGGAACCTTTAAAGGATCGAAAGCCTGCATCTGAACAGCGAAGGTGCAAACTTGGAGAGGCCAGACAAGTCTCAAAGGAGCCACTGTCGAACAGGCTTGGCCACAGCACGTTGCAGTCTGCTCATCCTGTGGACAGAAAACGAGAGCCAGGTCACGGGGGAAGGTTCAAGGCATCAAAGAGGCTAGCCGCCGCACCGCCGTACGAATCATCGACCGTCCATGAAGACATCACTCAACGCTGTCACTGCCGCCACCTCTTGCAAATAAATGCTCCAACATTCCCAGGTGTTTCAAGTGCATAGACCATTGGGAGGCCGCTCAAAGGGGCACCCGAGCGGTACTGGTGAACAGCCCCGCCGCCTCTCAGTCCTCCAGGCGTCAAGAGCTTGTCGCGACGTTCACTCCGTCAAAACTTGCCTCTGAAACTTTGGTGTGGTGCACCTTCGGCCGGCCCTGCACTGACGCTCACATCATCCAAATGCACGCCAACACACTCGGGAAGTTCGGGAGCCTCCCATCGTGACGCGATTTCCCAGGCCAAGTTCAGGAACGGCTGGGAGCCGACGCTGCGCAGCCTTGCTGGTTGCCTGTGCCCACTCAGTGTTTGGCCCGAAGTAAAGCACCAGTCGCCGTATGCACGCAGGCACGGCTGCGGGGAGAGGACAGAGAGAGAAGGAAACGCGAGAGGGTCAGACACGACAGCGGAGCACGGAACCTTCGAAACTGTCCCGAAGATGGGACTCATACTGCAGGGTCGCGCTAGTCTGAAGAGGCCTCGGAAAAGAAGGTTTCCTTCTCGACGGCGAAACCAGAGAAGAGCGCCTGGAGGCAGCCTGTATGCGTAGGGTACGGTTGCGTCAAGGCCGTCCAGGCTTGGCGGTGGCGAGCAGAGCACCCACTCATGTGCACACACACACAGACAAAAGAACCCACCAGATCGCCCTCGCAGCCTCACACAATCGCACAAGTTTGCAGCACCGTGGAACTCCTCCACTACAGCGACCGCTGCCAGCGCTTGAAGCACCTCGTTGCTACAGACCGGCTAGGAGTCCTTGCGAGCGAAGAGGCATCTCGAGCACCCTTTCACCAAGCAGCCAAGCTTCACCTGCAACTCGAGACCATACAAGACCCTTGACATACTCTTCCCCAATCAGGTCGGCGCGCACCTCCTTGCAATTGATGTGCTCGGTGTCCCGGAATCCGCGCCTCCGTTGTTTTTGGTTCACAAGTGACCCGCTGCGCAGGCAGATGCAAGCGACGATAACGGAACAACCTTCAAGAAGATCAGGTCATCGATTTGGCGATGAGACCCCTAGAGATTTGCTGCTGATATAGCTGAAAAATGCCAACATCCTTGCAGGATGGGGTGATGTAAGGACTTTGCATTCATCGCTTTTTGGAGCCGTGGCTGGCCGAAATCTGTGTGAAGGCCATCGACCGGAGGACCGTCCCCTGGCACATTTGTAGCATCCACAGAATGGCTATAGACGACCGAAGCAAAGAATCAAATAAGATTGAGAATGCAGGCTGGTGCTGTCTCTCCCATTTCTCCATGGTCTTGGTCCTCCAGCTTGGAGGCAGTGCGCCCAAGGTCGGGAGGCTCAGAAGTCAACAAATCACATCCAGCAAAGCTTAAGTAACGATGTCTCACTGGCTCTTCGACCGAAGAGTGCAGCACCGGCGCGACCCGGCCAGGTATGGCAAAGCAACAAAGCAAGTTTGGTCATTTGTGTGCTTGGGAGGCCACGAACATGGAATCACCAGCGTCCCAGGCTCTTACGCCAACATCTCGCACCACCACCCAGCACTGGCCAAAATTCAGCCTGACGATCTGCGCTAGCGCCTGCCCAATTCGCGCCGCAAGAACTCTCCCACTTGCCAGCGCACCTCCAAGCGGCTCACAGACGTAGAGGAAGTAGAAGGCGATATCTGCGCAAGTGTCCCAGCCGACCACCGACGAAGAACTCGGCCCGCAACTCTACACCTCCGCCCTTAGCGTGTCAAAGTCCCGGAGGAGGGCGCCATCACCTCCAGACCGGCGCACTCAGAGCAGGCGGTAGAGTGGAACCCTCGAAGAAAACACCAGTCAGCGCAAAGCTGCTCTGAACAAGAAGATGCGGGCAGTCAAGATCATTTCACGAAGTGGCACCCGAAGCACACCAATCAGAACCCCCACAAGCACTGCAGGAAGATGGATCCCACCGTGCACAGCTAGATCTCCTGCTGAGCGCTCGGCCGGGCAGATATGCTACAATGAGGCGTTCAGGAAGGAGGGAAAGGGAAGGGAGAATCAGGAGGAGCGACCGACGACTGAGAAGACTGGAAGCGCAGAGCTTTACAGAAGAGGGACGGTCCCGAGATCGCGCCTGTAGCTCAGCGCCCTAGACATGGAGCCACAAAATCTTGCCGGTCGTACGAGTAAACATGGTGCAGCCGTCGGCTCCCGTGCACAGTCGCACTGCAGACAATATTCGTCAACGCAGTCGTGCCTACGGCACCAACACTGGAAAAAACACTGCTTTGTTCCACTGACACTCGGACAGGACATAGTCTGCTAGTTGGAATGTATCCTTCACTGCCAATGGGAGCTCCATCTACTTCCGTCGTAATTTATCCTACATGGAAAGAGCACTGAAATTTCCAACTTCAAGGAATCTGCGTCCGTCCCCAGTGGACAGTGGACACTCTCACGATGATTTGCCTTGAGTTCTGGACTTGTCGTGGCTCGATGCTGAGCGTGTGCCGGGCAGCCGAGCCTCTGCTGATCGATGCCTCAGCTGCATCTTGTTTCGCTTGTAAGTTGTATCCATTGTCCCAAACCGTTCGCCACATGACGAAAACGTGCTACAACATGGATTGGCAGCCCTGCAGCATGAAAGCACACAGTGCCTAGACCAGGGATAGGATACACTCTTGATGTGAGCTCCGCACGAGTATCGTCTGTGGCTCGCCTGCAAGAGCATGTGCTTAGCGGTCGTGTCTGCCACTGGCCTATGGCCCAGACGAATTCACTGCACGACAGCTTGCACTGATGGCTGGCCCTGTCGGACGCACTTCGCTCGCTCGATCGCCCGGCAGGCCGGGCAGAGGTGGTGACCTGCGCCTGGATTGAAGGCTTGACTTTGCAGCTCAGCATGAAGCTTACGGTCCCTGCCTCTGGGGGTGGTGGTCTGTACTCCTTAGTGGTCAAGCGCGAGCAACTCAGAGCCGTTCAACTTTGCACCACGATATTTCATCTCTGTATTGCAGTAATGCAAAGGATAGTTTTGCTTTGAAAGCTGGGTTAGAGGTGGCCAATTCTCGGCTGGCGACAAACAGCGGAGTGTAGTTCGGAGTCTCACCTGAGCGGCACTTCACCGCATGGTGCCTGGCCTCTTGGTGCGCTTCCTGTCCAGGCTGTCAACCCTGAGCCGCAGACTCTGCGAAGGCCTCTGTCTCACAGCAGCTGGGACCTGCAGCATCAACTACACATCGCGGACCTGGATCTTTGTACATCTGTATGCCGATCGACCTATCGACCTCTTTCTGTCTCTTTGATTTGTTCGGGGTGCAAGGAGCTGACAGTTCCAACTCGCTCTATCTCTCCATCTCGCCACCCACCCACACATGTATGTATGTATGTATGCACAAGCGAAAACATTCATACATACATATACACATTCTTTACACACACACACACATATATATATATACCGATACATGCACAAATATACACACATCTATATATGCTCATATATATATATATATGATCCCGGTTCGGCGGGCCCCCCCCCCTCCCCCCCCCAATGGTTCCTCCTCCCCCTCCCTGTGGTGTGGTGTGGTTGCGGGTTGCTTCCCCCTCCCTGTGGTGGTGTCTTGTGGTTGGGGAGTGGGTCTGCTTAGGCTGGTTCCCCCACTCCCCCCTGTGGTGTGGTGTGGGTTTGGGTTTCCTGCGTGGGTCTGCTTGGCGAGTGAGCCCTCGT